CGTGGCGCTGGGTGCTGTGTGCGATGCCGGGGGGGCCAGCGGCGGCTCCCCTGGCCCAGCCGCCCCGGGGCTCCGAGCCCGTGCGTCCGGCTCATTCCCCTTCAGGTCGTTCATACTCGGATCATTTCGATTCATCTTACTTATATTCAGATTATTTCTGCTTATTTGCATACAGATTATTTCTATTCAGATTATTTTCAGTCTCTTTACATTCAAATTATTTATTTTCATCTTATTCAGATTATTTCTATTTACCTTATTTTATATTCAGATAATTTATTTTCAATCTATTTGTATTCAGATTATTTCAGATTATTTATATCCAGGTTATTTATATTTATATTCATATTATTTATATTCAGATTGCTTCAGCTGTTTATATTCAGATGATTTATTTTCAATTTATTTATATTCATATTATTTCCAATTATTTTTTTTATTTTATTTCTATTCAGATTATTTCTACTCAGATTATTTAATTCAGATTGTTTCCAATCAGATTATGTATATTTATCTTATTTATATTCAGATAATTTGCTTTCAATTTTTTTGTATTCAGATTATCTCAGGTTATTTATTTTCATTTTATTTCTATTCAGATTCTTTAATTCAGATTATTTCTATTCAGATTATTTATAGTCAGATAATTTATTTTCAATTTATTTATATTCAGAGTATTTATTTTCCTTTTATTTATATTCACATTATTTCTATTGATCTTATTGCTATTAATCTTTAATTATTTAATTCAGATTGTTTATATTTAGCTTATTTATATTCAGAAATTTTTTCAATTTATTTATATTCAGATTATTTATTTTTATCTTATTTATTATATTCAGATTATTAATATTCAGCGGGTGCCCCCCCCGCCGCCCCCCCCTCCAAGGACGGGGACCCCGAGTCGGCGGCGCGAGGAGGCTGGCTGCGAAAGCCCTTTTTATTTGGAGTATAAAATGGGGGGGGGCCCCCCGGGCCATGGGGCCGAGGGTCTGTCACCGCCTGTCCCCCCCGGGATCGCGGAGCTGAAGTCGTGGC